CATGCGTTGGGTACTCGGGTTGAGTTGAGCACATCATTTCACCCTCAGACGGACGGGCAGTCCGAGCGCACTATTCAAATATTAGAGGATATGCTTCGTGCGTGTGTGGTAGATTTTGGGGGTGCTTGGGACCAGTTTTTTCCACTTGCGGAGTTTGCTTACAACAACAATTATCAGTTCAGCATTCAGATGGCACCGTATGAGGCTCTATATGGTAGGCGGTGTCGGTCCCCAGTGGGTTGGTTCGAGCCCGGCGAGGCCAGATTACTGGGTACGGACTTGGTTCAGGATGCCTTGGAAAAAGTGAAGGTGATTCAGGATAGACTTCGCACAGCCCAGTCCAGACAGAAGAGTTATGCGGACCGGAAGGTTCGTGATGTAGCATTCATGGTTGGAGAGCGAGTCTTGCTCCGGGTTTCGCCTATGAAGGGCGTTATGAGGTTTGGAAAGAAGGGCAAGCTGAGCCCAAGGTTCATTGGTCCATTTGAGGTGTTGCGTCGAGTTGGGGAGGTTGCTTATGAGCTTGCCTTGCCTCCTAGTCTAGCAGGAGTTCATCCGGTATTCCACGTTTTTATGCTCCGGAAGTATCATGGGTATCTGTCTCATGTGTTGGATTTCAGCTCAGTCCAGTTAGACAAGGATATATCTTATGTTGAGGAGCCAGTGGCTATTTTAGACAGGCAGTTCAGAAAGTTAAGATCAAAGAACATTGCTTCTGTGAAGGTTCATTGGAGGGGATAGCCAGTCGAGGAGGCGACTTGGGAGACCGAGCATGTTATGCGCAGTCGTTACCCTCACATTTTCACCACTTCAGGTATGTCTTTATGCTCGTTCGAGGACGAATGATTATTTTTAGAGGGGAAGGATGTAACGACCTGGCCGGTCGTTTTGAGAGTAATATCCCCGATCCCCTATCTACTGCTTCTCCCATATCTATTTTCTGCTATTGTGACTTGCCGGGAGGGTTCGTTTTAGTTTTTAGAGTGTTTTGGGATACTTAGTCCCTAAAACGGGAGCTTAAGTCTTAGGATTTTGACCGTAGTTGGAACTATGTGAAGACGACTTTGGAATGGAGTTTTGTTGGTTCCGTTAGCTCCGTTAGGTGATTTTGGACTTAGGAGCGTGTCCGGATTGTGTTTTGAAGGTCCGTAGCGTATTTAGGCTTGAATTGGTGAAAAATCATTTTTTTGGAGTTTTGGACCGATAGTGGAATTTTTGATATCTGGGTCGAATTCTGATTCTGGATATTGGAGTAGGTCCGTAATATTGAATATGACTTGTGTGCAAAATTTGGGATCAATCGGACGTGGTTTGATAGGTTTCGGCATCGGTTGTAGAATTTTGAAGTTTCAAATTCTTTAAGTTTGAATTGGAGGGTGATTCATGATTTTAGCGTTGTTTGATGTGATTTGAGGGCTCGACTAAGTTTGTATGATTTTTTAGGACTTGTTGGTATATTGGGTTGAGGTCCCGGGGGTCTCGGGTATATTTCGGATGGTTAACGGATCAAATTTGGTTTTGGAAGAATAACTGCAGCTGCTGCACCTAGTGTAATCACACCTGCGCAACACTGACCGCAGGTGCGAGCCCGCAGAAGCGAGCCAAGGGACGCAGGTGCGGTTTGGAAGGAAGAGGCCAGAGGTCGTAGGTGCGGGGGTATAACCGCATCTGCGCATCCGCCGATACGGAAGATTGAGTGCAGAAGCTGAAGGGACCGGGGCGTGAGGGATCGCAGAAGCGGAAAAATTCCGCAGGTGCGGCCCATTGCTCGCAGATGCAGACCCAATCCCCTTAAGTCATTTCCGCACTTGCAATGAAAATTCCGCAGGTGCGGCGTCGCAAGTGCGACTATGGACCGCAGGTGCGAGATTTCTGGACAGAACACTTAAATGCAAGTGTTCGCGGTTTTTGCTCATTTTCAACATTTTGAGCTCGGGTTTGGCGATTTCTTGAGAGCATTTTTGAGGGGTTTCTTGAGGTAAGTCCTTTGTGCTTATTTTTTATCAATAATCATGCTTCCCCATGTATTTTTTCACCTAGTTAGTGTGTATTTAAGGTGGAAATTGGGAATTGGAGGTTAGGAATTTAGAAGTTTGATTTGTGGATTTGGAGGATCATTTGGTGTCGGATTTTAGTAAATTTGATATGGTTAGACTCGTGAGTAAATGAGCTTTCGTATTTTATGACTTTTACCCAATTTCGAGATGTGGGCCCCACAGGCGATTCTTGAGTTAATTTCGGAATTTTTGTTAAAGTGTTGATTTCGTTAATTAGATGAGCCTATATTGTTGTATTTATGATATGTAATTGCTTTTGGCTAGATTTGGGCCATTGAGAGCCGAATATTTGCGGGAAAGGCATTGTGACCAATTGATTAAGCNCTGAATTCTGTGCAGCATGCTTAGTGAATTTTTTATTTCTTCCCTGACTGGTACTTAGTCTAAATCGTAAGAATTTCGTGATGTAGTTGTATTTCTATCGTTCGCGCTGCATATTTACTTTAGGACTACGAAACTGTATTCCGGGAGATTCCCCTGTACTGCATATTTACTTTGGGACTACGGAACGGTATTCCGGGAGATCTCCATGTACTGCATATTTACTTTGGGACTACGGAACGGTATTCCGGGAGATCTTCCCTGTACTGCATATTTACTTTGGGATTACGGAACAGTATTACGGGAGATCCCCCTGTCTTGCATATTTACTTTGGAACTACGGAACGGTATTCCGAGATCTCCCCCTGCATATTTATGTTTGGGACTACGAGACGGTATCTCAGGAGATCCCCTGTTGTGTTTCTGTGTATTGAGCTGTTACCTTCTATGATTTCATTATTGTTAAATTTCAGGCTTTATTTTAGTGCGGTATTACACTCTAAATTATTTTTATTATATATTTACTAGTAGGACCCTGACCTGACCTCGTCACTACTCGATCGAGGTTAGGCTTGGCACTTACTGGGTACCGATTGTGGTGTACTCATGCTACTCTCTGCACATATTTTTTGTGGCAGATCCAGGTACACTTTATCAGCCGCACTATCAGTAAGCCGGGACAGCTTAAGAGACTTCAAGGTATATCTGTCGCGTCCGCAGACCTCGGAGTCCCCGTCTACTCTTTCTCATGTCCATTATCTTATGTATTTTCCTTGTTAGATTCTGATGTATAGAGATACTAGATTTTTCCTTCTGTAGTTTGTGATTCACGATATTCCGGATTTTGGGATTTGTTGTATATATTTGAATAGTTGGTTAAATTTATATTTTTATTTTACTATTCCGCAAAAATGTTAGGCTTACCTAGTTGTAGAGACTAGGTGCCGTCGCGACGTCACACGAAGGAGAAATTGGGTCGTGACACCTTGCCACAAACTATTAATGTATGAATTTTCTTTTTTTCCTATAGATTTTCAATTGGGTCACAAAAATTATATATGAAATAATTGAAATTATCATTCTCGCTAACTGCATATACCACCGAAAAGGGATATGAGTTTGAGATTGGAGCACGTACCTTATGGAGTCACGATTTCTAATTAGGGCTTTTGTGTTGCTATCAGATGGGTCACAATTTGTGATTTGAGCAGTTAGAATCGAGAGATTTGAGCAGAGAGAAAATTGAGTGGGATAATTTTCTATAGAGAGACGAGCAAGGAGAAGAAGACCTACATCAGTGTGTGCTTCTGTTTTCATTTAATAAGAGTGATTTTTCTTATAAACTTTTATTAGTGTTAGAGGCGACTTAGTCGCCACAAAAAGGCCTTCAGAGGCGACTATATAAAAGTCGCTACAAAACTCTCAAGCCAGAATTTCGGTCTTAGCGGGAAAGAAAAATTCAGTGTTTAGTTGAACGTATTAGGAGCGATATTTGAAAACTCGCCACTAAAAGTATACCTTCTAATTATAGTCGCCACAAAAAGTCTAGCTTTTGTTGCAATAAATCAAATCGTCACTAAATATTGCCACAATAAGTCTGATTTCTTGTAGTATAATGATCGTCAGCATTCCAGTGTTCATCATATTTTGTTTGTTAATCCTCCCAAATAGCCTGGAGTATACATGCCACTTCTTTAGAATATGTTGTTGCTCTTGCTACAAATGATGGATTTGTGCATTTCACACTAACAGTATGCTTAATGTTTCTCTTTTAAACAATAAAGTGTAGTTACATACTTATGAAAAATTAATAATGAGTTATTCATCCATTTGTCTTGGTAGAATGCAAGTTAATATAGTGAAGTCATCCTCTTTTAATTGTCTTGGTAGTATGCAAGTTAATATAGTGAAGTCATCCTCTTTTATTTGTCTTGGTAGTATGCAAGTTAATACGGTGAATTCACCTCTTTTATAATCTCATTCATGTTCATCCGTGTAAGAATATATGAAGTAGTTTGAGCTAATTTTGCAGCTATTTGAGATCATTTAGCGTTGTATACTACACTTCTTTCCTTTAGATTTAGTTTATTTTGTCGGATAAACCGATAATCGAACTGTTAATGATAGATAACCGGTACCCGATAATCCATAGCTTATTGGTTCGGTTATCGGTTTAGCATATTTATAAATCGATAACTGATATGCCGAACTGATAGTATTCACAAAGGAATCGAACCGACCGATACCCACTCCTACTTTGATACTCCTACTTTGATGTAGACTCATTTCATACTATTTTCTTCGTGAAACATCAAAAAGAAAAAGAAAAATCACTATAAAACCCAAAAAAAATGATTTGAATATATTTTTTTTAAAAAGAAAACGATAGATCTAGATTTGCTTTGTTAACATCTTATTCTCAAAAAGAAGAAGACAAAATAAAACATTGATTATATTCTCAATTAAAGTAATATATGTCTTTATTTTGTCTAAAGCACACAAATGACACTTTAACATTTATACCTTACCATGGAAGCAAGGCTTGTATATTCCAGCCTTCATAATCCTTTAAAAATGATGCATCTCTGAACCCATTGTCAAACAATATCACAGCAGCAACAACGCCCAGTCCTTATATACGCTGATTTGAAATATAGTTTCATATAGGAATATCATCCTTTTTAGTTTCATTAATATTTTAAGCCTCTTGTACGTAGTCAAGTTCTGTTATTTTCACCATCAATGGTTGTGGTGGGTTTGTAAATACCTCTTTATCTTTAATCAGAAGTATCGGGTTCAAGTTCTGGGATTGAAGTCGTCTTTGGTAAGAAGAACTATACCCCAAAGCGGGACTTGCCGGGGAGTGAATCAATCGGAATTAATCGGAACCAGACACCGGCTGAGAAACCAACAAAACAAAAAAAAAGTCTGTTATTTTCTTTGTCATCTAGTTTGTGTTGACTACCTTTTAACTAGGATTTAAGTTACATATTACATTATTAGGACAGTTTAACACATGATAGTAGTTTAGTTAGCAATTAATACCTTGCCATAAATTTGCATACAATTACTTTATAAATGACTTGAGTTATAAATATTTTTCTTTTGCGACTTTAATGCATAAAACTTAAACTCCTAACCAACTAACATTGTTTGTTCAATAATAAGGTAGGTACGAAGTAAAATGTCCTTAGAATCTGAAATGGTGGACATCATTACAATCTCAAGACTACAATCTATACCAAGAAAGCGTCAAATACCAAAAGTTCCATTATTCATGAGAATTGACAATCAAAATAGTGATGACTATGATCCTAAAGTGGTTTCATTGGGACCTTACCATCATGGAAAGCCAGAGCTCAATTTTGTTGAAGATTTCAAGCACAAGTCTCTAGAAATGTTCATTCATGGCAGTAATAAAGACCAAAAATTTTTCCTCGAAAACATTCTCGAGGAGATTGAGGATGTTCGAAGTTGTTACCTCGAAGAATTCACGAATAAGTATAACGACTATGATTTTGCTCGAATGATGCTCCTTGATGCATGTTTCGTTCTAAATGATATCGAGATAGTAACAAGGTCTACACCAAATTCTGCGTCTAAACAAACCAACACAATCAAGCATCTTGGTATTGCAGTTTATTTGATCACTAGACGTGACCTATATTTGCTCGAAAATCAGGTACCCTTTGTCGAAAAAATTATACTGTGTATACTGATCAGATATTACTTTTTTTTTAATCTATGTATATCAAATTTTGAACATGCCCTTTGAAAAATTCCTGAACTCGCCACTGGACAGGTACCCTTTCGGATTCTCAAGCTCTTGGTTAAGTTGAGATATGGGGATGATGAAGGTAGTGGATATTATCCATTTGAAGAGAAGGTGAAAAGCTATTGTTCACAAATGTTTTTCGATAAGCAAGAAGACAACATAGAAGAGAACGCGATGATGGAGATAGAACCTCCTCACCTTCTTGAAGTTTTTCGACGAGTACTTGTCACTGGTAACGATGAAGAAGTTAATGTCAAACAATCGCGTTGTGATTTCATCTTTGATTATTTTCTTGATCGTTTTAGAAAGAATCATGAGTTAGTACACAAACCAGCATTGCTCACAAATGTGTTTCGTTCAGTTATAGATTTGAAATCAAAGGGCATTCATTTTAGGCCTAGTGGAATTGATTCTTTAAAAGGTGTAAGATTTACATCTCACTATTACTATGCAAAACTCAAATTACCATGTTGGTATGTTTCAACATACACTAAAGTATTTTTCATGAATATGATAGCTTATGAATTGTGCCCAAATAGTCCAAATGATAGAGCTGTGGTATCTTACATAAATTTCATGAAATCTCTTGTGATTTCACCCAATGATGTGAAAGAACTAAGAGAAGAGAAGATTATATTCAACACATTGGGAAGTGATGAAGAAGTGGTACAAGTTTACAAAGGATTAAAGACTTATGGGGCAGATGATCCTTTAATTTTCAAGAATGTGAAGAGGAATATTCAAGAACATTACAATAGCAAGGGGAAAACTTGGATTGCTGAATTGATAGATACATATTTTAATAGTCCATGGTCTCTAACTGCTTTAGTTGTTACTATTTTTCTTACTTTCTTGACTGTTGTTCAGACTTATTATGGTAGCCCATTTTATCATTCTCATGAAGAGAATATGTGATTTTACTGTGTGTGTTGATTCATGTTTGTTATAATGTGGAATAATCATTCATACAACTTCATTAATTTTAACTTTTCTATTTAAGTTCACAGTCTGTGGTGACAAAATACTAAAATAGTTGTAGCACTAGGAGTCTACCACCTTCCTGCCAATTCCTATTTGAGCAAAATACAAAACTGGCAATTCGGCAATTCCGCTAGCCGAAAAGTGTAGAAAACATGTATATTTTTTGTATATGATATACATATATACAAAAAATACAAATTTAGCAGCAATTAATTTTTTGAAGCGGCTAAAGATATATATCTCTCGTCTTATTTCTCCCACAAAACCTGGATCTTAATTCTTAGGGGTGTGTGTATACAATATAGAGATTTTTTCACTATATCACGGTCCAAGCCCAACTATCAAGGTATTGTTCACTTTGGCCAGATCTCTCTGGACCACCTCAAGTCACGGTTTTATCCTCTTAGATTTTAACCCAAAAGATATCTCAATAGATAAATCATGAACTCGCCCTTAAACCTATCTTGAGTTCAACCGCTAACGGTCCATAAGCTGTTATAAATATATGTAGCTAAACCATATAGTGTGATTATAAATACGTAGGTATATACTTGTCGTTCATGACTCATGAGGCATCTTGAGTTAAAAATAAACATTAGGTTACATAAATTTTGAGAATGCAAATTCAACAAGTTTCAACATGGTTGGGTTCTCCACATTAAAGAACTTTTTTTTTTGGTAAGTTACTACTCCAGGTGCAAGGAAACAGTGCCCAACAACAAAGTTCAAGCTCAAACTAATTTTTAATTATTAATTACCTAGTTTATTTATGTCATTAGACCATAGTCTTGTGCTCTGGTCTATGAGTGAACTCGAAATCAACATGCACAAAAGCTCTCTCAACATCAGGAAGCTGCTCTAATTTTTCTTGCAATGTTTCACCAATATTATGTGCTTGGCTTAGAAGCATGTCCTCTGGCAAAACTATATCAACTTCCACAAAGTAATTTGTACCAAATGTGTATGCTCTCACAGTATCAATGTGCTTGATTTCTTTGTGATGATTCCATATAAGATATGTTAATTTCGCCAGAAATTCTGGTGGAGCTGTTCTTCCGATGAGTGATCGCATATTTTCGATTACTGTCTTTGCCCACGTACCAATTGTGTATAGTGCTATCTGCAAATACATAATGTTATCCTTAATAATAATGGAAAATTTGGAGGGATGTCTTTGAAAATTTCTACTCATTTTATTTGCTCAATCATTTAGTGATAGTCGTCCACCACAATTGGTTTAGCATCCTTTGACTAGACATGAAGTTTAAAAAATAAAAGAGATCTCTGACATAGAAGTTTAATATGCTTAATAAGTCAGAAATACCATATATACATAAAGGTGTCAATCTTGATATAAAAATATAAATAAATGTTTGGAGTTTCTAAAGCTATAAAGATATCAATCTTTCAGGACAAAAGAAAACAAAAAGGAAATAGTACTTAGTAAATTGAGACAGATGTAGTGTCGTATGTGTGTGCACGTGCACCCAAGAGTATGACTTAGTGATCAATAAAATTGATATAAAGGTTGAAATTAGGATTCCTTTTCTAGTAGAGACAAAAAATACAAGTTATTCCCACACGCCAAAGCCTTGGGGAGTAACAAGGTGTCCGGTAAATTTTTTAGTGAGAGATTACATGTACTAAGTGAAATAGTTGAGGTGCTGCGCAAGTTGATGCGAACACCACTATATGGTTCGAACCGTGAAAGCAATCATTAATGCTTGCATTAGGGTAGGATATCTATATCATACCTTTTAGGTGCGGCTTTTCCCGAATCATGTATGAACGGGAAATACGTTATGCATCGAGATGCCTATTAAATAAGTAGATAAAAGCAAAAGAAGTATAAGTGATGATTGTGAACTCACCAATATAGCTCCCGTAGGATCAATCCACCAGCAGAATCGAATTGCTAAAACTGCAGTCACTAATCCAACAGAGTTGGTAATGACATCAAATAAATGGTCTTGAGCATAGGCTCTTACAATTTCATTCTTGAATCTTCGACAATAAACCATAAGCAGAAACTTAACAACAGTGACAGAGACCATGATCCCAATCATCCATTTTTCCTTCTCAGGATCCGTATTAGGACGAGACTGATATGATAAGCATTGAACAAGAAGAAACAATAAACTGACATTAGTGTAGTTTAATCTGTGATAGTACTAAATATTTACCAATTACTCCTCATCTTGCATTTTATCCTTAATGACATGATTTTATAGCCACAAAATTTCATGGCATGTATGAACACAAGTTGCAGAAGTCTCCTTTTTTTTTTGTTTCTTGAACTCCATATTTAGTGAAATACCGTCATATTAATTAAACAAATGGAGTAATGCTTATCATCAAAGTTACATATATCACGTTATATAAGACCAAATTGTATAAATATCTTTTTTATACTATGAGTACATAAAAGTCAACTAACGTGCATAAAGATATTGGTCAATACTTCATCTAATAGCCAAATAATGTAGCATAAACAACTGCGTCTTGAAGTCCAAGAGAAAGATCATGATATAGGAGAACAGTTTTCATCATTTTGTATTATTTTGAAAAGTTAAATTTAGAAATTCCTTTTTTTTTTCTAAAAAAAGACTTTAGAGAACCGAGTCACGTACCTTATGTATGAGTTCTTTACCAGACTCAAATAGTATTTGTAATCCAAGGGTTGCCATCACCGATGCAAAAACAATAATACCCTATAAATATTACATATAAATATTTTATTTGGCTATAAAACTCATATCAGACTGACACAAAGTATAGAATGAATGTAACAAATATCAAAATGTCACAACGTTATTTTTGAAGACTCACCACAGGCTGCATTCTCTTTTTACCAATTGGATAGTGGTATTGGTTTGGATTTTTCATTGCATATACAGTGAACCACAGAATAAATCCAGACAATAAGTCTAAGAGTGAGTCCAAAGTTGATGCAATCACAGCCAAAGATCTACTTGCAATAGAAGCATAGATTTTTGCAATGAAAAGAACCACATTTGCTATGTTTGATACATGAATTGCCATCCTCTCACTCTTAGCAAGCTGCTTCATTTCATCCTGACAAATATTGAGTTGTAGAGAATAAAAGTGAGATTAATCCTACTTTATTAGTTAGACTATTTTGACCTGTTGTAGCAAGTTATCAGAATTTGTTAAGATTACTAGTCTCACTTATATATTATAGACCGTGACTTGTAATTATCTGTTAAGTGACCTAACAAAAGGTTTAAAAAAAAGTAATTGTTGTTTATAAGTTATGCTCTTTTTTTGAGTTTAACTTTTAACCTTTTATGCATTAACAATCTAAAAATTTTCTACTACTATATGTCACTTGAAAGATAACTTAAACTAACCATCTATAATAAGTGAAGTAACGAACTTGAAAAATAGTAAAGTTGACCTCCCACAAGTAAACTTATGCCAAAAACACAAAACTTCTGAAGAGTAGGACACTTTTACAAGGAAAGAAGGAGAAGAAGAATTTTCACTAAAGCAAAATTTCCAAAAATTTGACATTTCCTAAGAGTAGGAAATTAAACTTAGAAAAGTTAGGGGACACATGCCCCGACATCATATCCCCAAGCTGTGATACTGAGGCCAAATATTGACTATAAAAAAAAAATTACACTATTAATATATATATCCTACGAGGCTGTTTGACTTATTTTCCAGGTTATTAATTTTTCTTATTATAAATATTTAACAGTAATATATTTTTAAGTGACATATAGGTCATGAGACTCATGACTAAAAAAATAATAAAGTTGTCGTGTGACCTACAGGTCACGGGTTCGAGCCGTAAAAGCAACCACTAATATTTGCATTAGGTCGGCTGTCTACATCACACTTCTTGAGGTGGTGCGGTGATACTTCCAAGACCCTGCGTGGATACAGAATACTTTATGCACCGGCCTATATATCATATCTTGTGTGAATTTTTAAGTGACGTATAAATTCTTTCATTATCAGTTTATTATTGAGGAAAAGAGACGAACCTCGGTTAGAGTTCCAGGTAAAAAGCCAGATTCATGAACAGTGTCCATCTCATTGAACCCTTCAACCAACCTTTCTTGCTTCTCGTAATATTCAGCTACTTTGCCTTGTTTTTCTATATATAGAGATATATATGAAAATGATTTGTAAGATAAAAGATAAAATCCTTACAAATAATGGATGTTGACAGGCTGAAAACTAAGATAGGTAATAGAAAATTTATAAAAACTATTTTCTTAGTTAAGTAGTTCTTGAAGACAAAAGAAAAAAAAGGATATCCAAACCAAAGTTAGAACTTAAAACAATTGGTTGAAGTGAGTTGTACTTAAAACACACAATTATTTTTTAATCTTGCTTTCAAAAAAAGACGATCTTTCTATATTTAGAAATAATTTAACATTAATTATTTTTATTTTACATACAAATTAAGGTGGTGAAATGTTTAATACTACAAGTTCCAAAGTAGTAATTCCTTTCTTAAATTTTGTTTTCAGTCAAACAAATTCACATAAAATAAAACGGTGGGAGTAATTTGCTAGGAGATGGTTGAATGGATTCAAATACCATTAAAATGCAATGATTTCCAAGTAGTTTTTTTTTTTTCGACAAGTGCAATAAAGCTAGCAAACAATATCATAGAAGAAATATAAAAGATAAAAGGAAGGAAAATTACTAGAAGGGCGACGTAAGAGTCGACGTAAACTGAAAGATTGACGATGATCAGCAGTGCCATTTTCAGGGACACGAAACTCCCCTATATTCAGCCTCCACGACGCCGACGGCGAAGAGGAAGATAACGACAACGGCAACGGCTGATGAGTGGCGCCGCCATGATCACCACCGTTACCGCCAACGATTTCCATGAAAATTGTTACTAAATATTTGTACGAATGACAATGTACTTGTGTTTTGATATTTATCTATAGTTGTATACTAGTAAGTCGAAGTAGGGAGAC